ACAAAGAACATATAAGTTAACTATTGGAGTTAAATTGTGCTGATAGTTCTATAAGCTCTCCCAAAACAATAGTAACAATACGATAATAAGTGACTTGCCGTTCCGACCTTGCTTAATAAGTGGCACGTGGTAACCAACTTGAACCTATACATAACCTGTGGAAACCTAACTTGGACCCTAATTAACCTAACCGCAACTCATAATGACCTGACTTGGACCCTAAGCAACCTAGACATAACCCATGACGACTTCTTACGAATATAGTCTTATTGAAGCAACGATACTTACCCTATCCGATAACTGTTACCACATACGGATCCGGACTGTGCAACTTACCATCAGGATTTATGCTTACGACGCTGGACTAAATTGGCTTGGATATATAAAAGCTCTCCCTAGTCGTAACACTATACCACGCTATACCATATTATACAGTATTATACCTGGTATTATACTACCATTTTCTATTATACCGGTATAATCGCATCCCTATCTACGGCCAACGTGATTCACGTGACAAAAAAATACAAATAGTTTTTAACTTCGGAACCTTATACAAACTCATGCAAAATTATAGTAATTTTTTAACTCTATATATGAAAGACATATGTTACATATAATACCTGCTTTACAGATAATTTTATCATTATAAATGTCGGCACGATCGATGTTAATAAATTTATGGTTGAATGTTTGATTGAATGTTTGGTGTTTAGTTTGTGCTAAACTTTGATCTCTGCAGGTCATGATAGTAGATTTTTTAATTCTTAGAGAACTTAGAGATGTCGAATAAATATAGACGTTATTGATTGAAAAGTATGACTTAAAATCTCATCACGAAATTATACCACCATAATATACAAATTATGGCAATTAGATTAATTTAAAATCATTATTATTGGGATCTTTGAGTTATAAACTTAGTTATTGTAATATTAATAAAAATACTCGCAATTATATTTTATTTATGAAATATATTGTATAAAATTCTGATAATAAATTCAATATATCCTATAATTTATATATAAAATTTAAATGTTCAATCTGTCTCGTTTCATGTAATTTATTTATCACACTACCCATTGTTCAACAAAGGGCTGAAACGCCTAGTAGCTATAACAAAAAATATTCAAGTTTTAGCTATAACAAAAAATATTCAAGTTTTCATAAATATATACACAATATGTTTGTATACAGTATAAATTCAACATATGAAAACTTCCTCAATTTGTATTTATGGACCTTACTGATATAAAACCTTTCCTTTTGTGAATTCCTATTCATCCATCGCAACCATCTTTTGTGCATTTGTCTGGTTCACAACAATCTGTTACACCGACTTCTTTATTTTCACAACACACATTTGGAGGTTCACAACATTCAAACCCGCAACAAATGCTTAAATCGCAACATGCACTTCCACAACACACATCTTTTCCACTACAACATTCAAACCCATCGCAACAGCGCTTTTTATTGCAACATCCATCTCCACATAGTACTTGGTTAGAAGGACAAGTTTTACTTTTTTGTCTTTTTAACAACGAAAGTAGAGGATTGTTTTTTCTAGGTCTTGATGCTTCAGCCAAAGAGAAGATCAAGAATGCGAAAATAAGAATCAACCAGAGCTTTTTCATGATAAAATTTGTAAATTTATGTAATTTATGATATTTTTCTTTGGTTTAATAAATGCTACCGTATTTATAATAAACAATACGAACAATTTTTTGGTTAACACAATAAATATCATTATCATTCATTTTTAAATAAGTTTAACGACATATTTTGATCTATTTGGAAATTGGGAAAGTTTTGAAAAATTATCAAATTTAATCAATCAATATGACATATTTTTTGGTTAATACGATATCACTATCATTTACTTTTTAGAGGTTTATAAATTTTGATGAACTATTTGCAGTATACGGAGGTTCGAAGTATTGAATAATTTAACCAAGAACAAATAATTTTGTTAGAAATGGAGGTTGAATGATTTTTGAAAAATTATTTAATAATATGATGTTAATGATGGGTTAAAAAATGGCGATACTTAATTGTTACAATAATTTATTAAGAAACAAATGATGATGGCGCATGACATTGTAATACCATAATTAAAAAAAATATTTTGGTTAAAACATTTTAACGACCCATTTTGTCATATTATACTGTAATACATTTTTAGTTAATACGATATCACAGGGTTGTTCCGGAATCAATAATTGGTCTTCTGATATTAATAAAGTGGATTAACTACGTACGTACTTACGTAAATCAATATCGATATGATACATTTTTGGTTAATGCGATATCGCTGATTTGGACAGGTGATACGTAAATTTTGTGTTCATCGACAAATTTTTTTTTTTTTTTTTTTACAGCTGTTTCATAAATTCTGGGATACCTGACAAAAAATTAGCCGAATGATTTTTCGGCCGATTCGGTTAATTTATTGATGAAATTTTAGATCAGATGACTAATAAAAAAATCTAAAAAATGTTTGTTCTAAAATTGTTCGGAATGGAGTCGATTTTCTGAACAGGGATTAATTATACTAGGAATTTTTTTTTTTTTTTTTTTTTTACACCCGTCGTATCACGGGACGCTGTGGAGCGTACATACTAGAAATTTTATTAAATGATTATCGTACAAAAAGCGTATAATATTCAATAAGCATCCTGTAAATATTCAAAACGGTGTCGATTTGCCAAACCAAACATTGGACAATTTCAGAATGATCCCAAGAGATTTTTTTTATGGGGAATATTATAAGACTACAGATGCATCTCTATTTTTAAAGCATCTTTGTTGGCAGATGAAGAAAAGTTTTTAAGTTCAAAAATTGTTAAACACTTAGATGTTAGTAGATCATTTACAAGTCGAGCTCTCAAGCCTTTCAAAGATATGGATGTATTAAACTTTTGTAATTCATTTTAGGCAAATGTTAAAATCTTAACTTTTTAGTATCTAACTTTTTTAATGCGTACTAGCATTTATTCGTGTAACATATTTATTGTAAATTCAAATTTATATCCGGAGCCTTTTTTATATTTCTTGACAATCTTTTT